ACATCCTCACTGACACACAGTTCCCATCACATAAGTCAAATAGCAAGGTGAAGATTTGCACACAGAATTGAGGTCATGCCCGTTACGAGGCGACTTTCACTAAAGTTATATCTCACGCATTCCAGATTTAGGACGTGTTCGTCGGCGATCAAAAAAAAAAAAAAAGCGAAAAAAAAATCATAAAAATTTACTTTCCAATTACAAATAACTGTGTCCTGCTTATAACAGTGGCGACATGTTTGATGGAAAAAAAAAAAAACAAATTAAAAAAAAAAAAAAACATAAGAGCAAAATACAAACAAAAAACTCGTTTCCCCTCCTCGTGTTTGAAATAATTACCAAATACAACATCGAACTTTTAAACCTCTATTACAAAAAGTTTATACTAATTTATTATGCGTGATCTTTGTAATCCTTGTCTAGGACAAAATGATCAACTACCCTACACCGGGCCCTAGGTTTCTGGAGATAATAGACAAGATAGTTGTAGCATTTGACAAACCAGGGTGGACATCATGACCATCAGCACGAGCAACTGCTCCAGCAACTACACAACGTAGGTTATCGCCCCATCCTTCGTATGTACACATAACCTCTTTATTTACCAGCACAAACCATGACTTCCCACCACAGGAAAAGTCCTTCCCCGTCTGATATGTTCTCATGAGGGATGAGACTGCTAGCTGCATTAGCTTTCCATCGGGGGACGTCGATCCATCAACGATACGTAAAGCAGGATGCGGCTCACTATAGTGTCTTCCCAACCTCAGCACGACATGACACCATCCTGCTTCACTGTTGTCCTTTGACTCCAGAATCTTGTAGAAATCCTCGTCGATGTACGCATTTGCAACAAGTTTCTCGTTGAAGATGTCGAAACTTTCTGTGTCCACTTGTGCATCAAATGCCTCCTCTCCCTCACCCTGCCCTCTGGCATCAAATGTGCGAAAATGTTTCGACATGATAACAGGGTTTTCTCTGTTGTCACCATCATAAACAAATGACCTCTCAAATTTTCTCTCCACGGCTTTGCTGGGGGTAGGATTCTCTTCCTGGCCAGCGGAATGAGATGAGTTCTGGAGCGTCCACTGCAGGATTAAATCCTCTGCTTTCACATCGTGCTTTGTTACTTTCTCTGAACCGCTATCCCCTCTGAACATGGCCACAGCAAGTTTGGTTTGTTGATGATTACGATCACTACTGTCCNACAGCAAGTTTGGTTTGTTGATGATTACGATCACTACTGTCCTCCTCCTCCTCTACACAGCTCTTCTTACACTCTGCGGCGACGAGATCCCAACCTTGCTGTCGCTTGCGCTGCCTATCAACCTCTGTAGGAGTTGCACATATGGCTTGTGCTGCGCACTCGATTACACAATCTTAAACTAAGGTTGACATTGCATTGGACACAGGAGGAGGAGCTAAGGAGTATGTCACTGTTTCCCCTCCTGCAAGCACATCTGTGATCACAGGATGGAGGATGCAGTGAATGACATTTCTATCGAATTTACTTCTCCTGATCAAATCCATAATTTGACCCAGAAGGAAATACTCAATTCCATCAGCAACAATGACAGACAACTCTGCAAGACAAGCGGGTTGCACACAATTTTTTAAGGGCAACTGCGACAAGGATAACACCTCGGTCGCGCCCGGTTTCAACAGGGCGGCATTGAAGGGTAGCCTCAATTGTGCGGCACGTATCTTCGATTGCAGTTTTTTCCTAAACGCGGGTTTTGTGTGAATGCCACCCTTTTGGTGTTTATTCATATCGACATCCCCCTGTTCTGTGATCCAATCCAGAAATGGTTTCTCCGTGTAAGATTGTATGTCAATCGGTCTGTTGGGGTGGGAAACCGTTGTCCTTTCTAGGAGGGTGAGTGATACAGCCTGTCCAGAAAGACGCTTGCATCCTGCATGTTGTCGAGGTTGCGAGCAATGGTTGCATCGACATCGATATGCACATGAAAATAACGAGGAACCCTCTGTCTCAAGTCCTGCAATTCGGCGTCGGAGTTATAATGCACAGACGGCGTGGCAAACTGCATCACCGTCTTTACCGCAATGATGTCATGTGAGGCCGACATACCTTCTTCCGCCTGTGAGATGCAGCTGATTACGAAACGCAGTTATCGCCGTCCAATCTGAAGTTCAACAAACATCGAAAACAATGGAAAAACAAGCTATATACATATAATGTAGGATGAGAAAGTCGGCCTATGAGGTCGACTTTTGCCTGCGTACACACGCATGTGTGAGCAGTCATGCGTCATCCCCAGACAGGATGTCGGGCAGACACAGTGCAGAGCAAAAAATAAAAAAAAATAAAAAAATTATTATCACGAATATACCAAATAATTACGGAAAAAAAAAAAAAACTTGTTGTCATCCTTCATGTCACACATCGATTGCAAACGACCTATTTCTGTATGTCCTCTAATATAAAGAAAAAAAAAATTAAAAAAGAATAAAAATACAGAATATATATTCTCACCAACAATAACCTACAATTGCATACCCCCCCTCTCTCCCCCCCTCCCCCACAAAAGAGACATTACTTGTGAAGAATTCAATAAAAGTAATTTGAACAAAATTCGAAGGGTGCCGGGGAGACCACCTCCAGCACTTTGAAGTGACCTCCAGACGAACAGATAAGTACTCACTCATTGGGTCCAGAGACTCACAATAACCTTAACACATGCGACACATCGACAAGGGAACGCAGATATAGATCAAAGGTTTGCGTCGGACATCGTAGTTGAGGTTAAATGGGCGAAAGGTTGTGCAAAAGAGAACGGCGCACCAGCCGCCCACAACGATAGAATCCTATGTACTGCACCTTTCGGCCGTCATCGGTTGCTCCTGTCTCAACGGATGCTGACTCACTTGCGACCTGATAGTTGACGGCGAATAGACCCACTTCCCTTTGTAAGGAACCCGGGTCAGCAGGTGCGCTGTCTTCTGACGTGCAAGGGGAAGGTTGTGCAGAATAGAACGGCACACCTGCCGACCACAACGATGCAATCCTATTTACTGCACTTTTTCCTCGTAATCGCTAGGTCCCGTCTCAACGAATGCCGACTCATCTGCGAAGAGGTAGTTGACGGCGAATAGGTTCACTTCCCTTTACAAGGAACCCGGGTCGGCAGGTGCGCTGTCTTTTGACGTGCAAGCGAAAGGTTGTGCATAAGAGAACGGCGCACCTGCCGACCACTACGATATAATCCTAGTCACTGCGCACCGGACCGTCATATATTGGTTATGGCTCAACGGATGGTGACTCGCTTGCAACCTTGTAGTTGAGGGTTAATGGACCCGCTTTCCTTTGCCTGTATCGCGGGTCGGCAGGTGCGTTGTCTTTTGACGTGCAAGCGAAAGGTTGTGCAAAAGAGAACGGCGCACCTGCTGACCACTACGACATATCCTGTTTAGTGCACCTTTCGCCTCATAAAACTTGTTGTCATCCTTCATGCCACACATCGATTGCAAACGACCTATTTCTGTATGTCCTCTAATATAAAAAAAAAAAAAAAAAAAAAAAAAAA